CGTATTTATGTGACATATTTAAGCAAAGGTAGTATGATTGATCTGTAGTGTTCATATTTTTTGAGAGAGTGTGTAGACATAACACAATATTAACAACGATTATTCTTTATTTAATGAGCAGGTTGTTATCATTTTTGTCCATAATGACAGTGCCAACAGTAATAAAATCCTTGACAGCTTTGAAAGTATAATTTTCAGCAAAAACTGGTCATATAAGTGACGTGCGTTTTTGTGAGTTGTCGAGATATATATAATTTATTTTGCGCTTATTCACAGACAAACCTTTTTTTGCAAGTATATCCTCATACCTGTAATCTATATAACAGACCCGAAACATGATATTAAAAATATAATTGTTGATATTAACCATTTAGGAAGGCTATTGTATATATTTTGTATACTCGATAGTTAATTTATAGATAAACTACAGCGGCCTGCACTATCATATTAAGCTGAGCCCGACTACTATTAGATCTTCTGTTATATAAAAGTTTCTCGTTGAGAAGTGCTTGATAACAGATGAAAGCATGTGCTTTCGCTGCAGCATCCTTTCTCTGATCTAGATTAAGGCCCGGTAGTTAAAGTGAAGGTGACCACACATCTCTTATGCAGACACAGACCAAATTCTATCGCCTCTAACAGGCCCACCTTGTTGAGTTAATACCGCAACCGAATTGCTCCATTATTTTTTAGGCAACCATCCAAGAGGTTAACTACATACATTCTTTATTGTAAAAAGTTCAAAAGAAATGTTTTTTTGCGTTTATATTGTCCATGCTATAATAACTCCGTCCTTGCGAAGTTTAATGCGAGTAATAAAGCGACACTTGATCGTTGAGGTGTGATTGCAGTCACACACCTATTTACTTTTGGAAAATTTCTTATGATTGTTTTTTTAAGAAAGGAGTTTTTTAAGGAGTTAAAGGAAATCATCATTATAAACTGACTAGATGTGACTTTGTCAATACTGAGAATGTTGGGGACGTAAGATCTGCTGTTTGGATTACAGATCTTAGATATCTCAGTCAAACAATTATAAGTTGAATTACAGTTCATTATAACATTTATTTATAACCTAAATAAATACGTACATAGCGGGCTATATAGCGTTAATTTAAGTTATTATTTTATGGACTTTACTCATTATTTATGAAGATAAATAGATTGTTAAAACCATATAAAAAAATTTTAGTTAAAAATTTTATATGTAGTTTTATTTCATATTTGAAAACAATAAAATTACCTCAAGTTCACGCCTTATTGTAATGTGCCTGAAGCCCTTTCATAAAAATAATTTTAATGCCTTTTATTTTCTTAACTTAATCTCGTTTGCCATTTTGATGATTTTTCATATTTTCTTTGTAAATAATAAAATAATAACATTTTTCCCGTAAATGCCAACGGACATGACTGGACCGGACAGACCATTCATGTTCATTGTACTTTACGCAGTAACGTAGCACAACTGTGCAAGCATTTATTACTTTTTTTAACGTTTCATATTTTATTGTGGTAAAGAGAAAAATTGGATTATATTGAAAAATAAATTATTTTTGAAAATTGGTTAGCTTAGAAGGTTTGAAATATTGCATAAATTATTTGAAGCAATTTCCTTAAGTCAAAAATTTTAATTAAAATAAATATTTCTCGTAATAAAAGCATTTAAAATTTAATATAAAATTAAATTTGCCGTTGACACTTGTTTAATTTAGCTATGGTCAAATAATATTTGGCCAAATATATTATTTAATAAATATTTTAGTACTAATGTCTTCATTAGTACGACTAATGAAGTACTTTAACTTAATTAACACATTTCGGTATTGTATACATTTTGCAATAATTAAATATTAGGCTAAATGAATTATTATTTTATAAA